CTCACTTAGGAAATCAAGCTTCCCCTCTCCGCTCAAAGGCACCGTGTAACACTGCTTATTCCACACATTCAAAGTCTACTGACATGTGACACGTGTGACCGTATTTTCAAGTGAGCGACTGATTCGGAGGGAAAATGTTTCTGAAAATGTGTGTTCGTAATGAAGATAATGTAAATTTGGTTGTCAAGATAGGAGGCAGGGTTGTTTTCTGGGATTAGATTCCAAATGTGCTTCAGTAAGAGTAATTTAAATTTGAGGAGAGACGGTGCGAACATAAAGCCAATAACCAAGAACCCTTTTTCCAGGAAACCAAACCATCCTTTTCCATTTATTAAACTTCATTTGAACCTACTTCATCGGGACGGGATAGAAAATCTCAAGTAAAAGCCAAATAAAACAGGCATCGGTAATTCAAGCAGCTGTTACCTCAGATGGCTTTAATAAATCTGAATACATTTTCTGGCAGGGGCCGGTGGGAACTCGGGATTTTGTGCATAGTAGCCAATTCCTGATGTGGACTTAACACGGGTGTTATCATTTGCATGTGTTCTCTGGCTTGTGTCTGTGTGTAGGTGTATGTGTGTCGAACTGCTGTACCAGCCTGCAGCCCACTCGAGCCAGATTGCATGGCAGATTACATTAGCTGCTGTAGATGCCTTGAAGACAGCCTGCCAAACAGAATTGTGTTGCACGGAGAAGGAAAGAGTTTATCGAGAAGGTGCAGAGGATGGCTGGGAGAAGTAAACTTGACATAATTTTCAGAACTTTTGGTGGAAAATAAGTAGCCGCAAACTGTCGGCTGGATAATGTCTTGTTTCTTTTGTTAAATACAGAAGAAGCTTTGGATTAGTTCGAAGGCACCTTTAACAAACATGACCTGAGTGAGTTATACCCCACTGGACACGATCAGTGATTATATTGAGCTATAATACCAGTTGATCCTCTGAAGGGAAAGTTGACACATTTTTTCACACATACACAAACACACATTGGCATGCAAGCATGAAATATGCATGCATTTTCACACAGTCTACATGCACTATGTGTGGAAATGTGTGTAACAGCAAACCTTTGATTATCGCGAGCTGACAGGGGTGTTAATATTTTTCTCTGGCAGTGCATGCTTCAGCAAAAATGACAGAAATACTGGACGGTTTCTGAGGGAGATTCAGCCAAAAAAAAAAACCCCAGCAGGATATTATTTGTTGTCGAGCGACCAGATGAGACTGAATGTTGAAAGAGAGAAGGAGAGGAAGAGGCACAAAAATCATTTTCACAGGAGTCCAATCTTCTTTAGTAAGTATGCACTTGAATTAACAATATAAACCTCGTCTAAAATAAAGCTCCACGAGGATTTAGGTCTATAGCTACAAGCTTTAAATTGCTTCTGAATGAAAAATGTTTCTCCTGCAACTGCAGCTTTTTAACCCCAAAGGGAGGATGTCTTAACAGTTTAAACAGCATTAATTACACTAATAGGACGTGTTCAGGCAGATGACTCTCCCACATGAGATGAATACATAAACAAAACCAACACCAGGAGAGTTCATTCTGCTGTGACTGTTATGGTATTTCAACAGCTGACCAAAAAGTAATATTTAATTTTAATTGTATGACTTGCTTTTTATGATTTTTAAGAACCAGCTCAGTGTTCACAACAACTACAAGCATTCACTGCAAAGTAAAACCAGCTTCTGTGAGCACAATGCAGGCAGCTAATGAGCCAGCTAAGAAAAGCAAACTTTCAAGAGGTGAGAGTCAGACATTTGCATTTTCTTCCCTTATATTAGTCATCATCAGTCATAATTGGTGGTTTATGTGCGATCATCTTCTCCTTTTTTTTTTTATATATATATTTTTAGCTCAGGCAGTTGACAGGTGTGATAACAATGAATACAATATTAGAATGACTCAACAGTGTGCCGCAAAAAGCCAATCCACAAGTTTGGAGAGCAAACTTCATGCCGTGAATAAAACAACCGTGCGAGTTGCTCATCAGCCCAATGAATGTTGTTGTGCTGTGTCAGCCATGATGCTGCACCGCTCCCCTGCCCACACGCACCCTGTTCCTTGTAGTAATAATTCGATAAGTGAATAAGTCAGGGAAGTTCGGTGCCAGGGTCTCTTGACCCCTGTTAGTCTGTTAATTGAATGATAATGCGAGCCTGCTGTCAGCTCGCTGCCATCACTATTGTTCTAGCAGATGTGTTAATGCACTGTCATTACAGGCGGGGGATTTACAGCATGCCTCGAAACACAAAGCAAAATGGGCTCCTACACAAAAATACACTGCTGGAGTGCTTTTTTTTTTCCATAATGAACAAAACAAACACAGAGAGTTTGGCCAATGCAGCGAGAAGATTCAACTATTTTGAAGTCCTTTTCACATAAAGATTCCCAAATCCGTATTAATCATCAGGTTCAATCAGTTTCAATCCATGTATTCTGCAGTTTTTTAATCTATATTTGTCCGCTAGTGTGTTATCATTGCTTCTCTGCAGTTGAAGCTGGTTAAACCTGTCAGTTTTTGTAGCAGAGTTTTGTCCAGTGATGCAGGACCCGCCCTAATGGAGGGTCTCAGAACCCCACACAACAAACACAAGCCTGACGAATCTGCACTCATATCAAACAGTGTTAGTTTTTTCACCACTTTTAGCCGCGAACCCAGAACGTCACAACAAATACATTTGACAGATTACGCATGAAATTATCTCGGCTTAACCGCAGCAGCTGGTCAGCCATTATTTGCCCTGAAAGGATTACTCAACGCTGTCTGCGCAGTCGACAATTACGAACTGAAATCATTTGTGATTTACAAACTAAAACACTTAAAGCCTTCGCCCTACAGCGTTTGGAAATCAGCCAAGGCATGCAAAAGATTGAATAAACAGAGGAGAGAAATAAATAAATACAAAACATTAATGGACAGCAAAGGGTGGGAGGGCTCAGGAAATAATCTAATGCTTGTCTCATTAGGCTAAAAACAGCAATCTCTGTTATCAGTCTGTATAGTGTGTGTGTGTGCATGTGTGTCATCATAGCAAAAAGCTGTGCTGGAGACACCTACTGCAGGCGTTTGTGCTGTCTGTCTGTCTGTACTGTGCTGTGCTGTGCTGTCTGGATGTCTGTAGACAGATATTGTCAACACAACAGTGTGAGCTGCACCTAAAGTTTCACAGGCGAAGCTGAAATTAAAGTAAAGGCCAAGTTGGACGCTGACTACTGAGTGCTCATGGGTCGACACATCAGCATGTTGACAAGCACCGTGGCTGGTGTAATCCAATTAAAAGATGGCCTCTAATTGTGTGTAGCAATAATTAATCAAGATTTAATGATATGACATGCACTTTTTTTTTTTTTTTTAGAGAACCTTACTTGTTTTTTGCTGTTCCCATGAAATCAACGAATGGCTGCGATGGTATTTCAACATTATTACAACACCAGTCACTACATTACAATAAAGTGGGAACAGGCAACTTTTTAATTCCCACTCTCCCACCCCCAGCGTTCCCAAAGGTTGGCGCCGCTGTCACAAAGACTTTCTGTTTTCCTCAGAGCCTCGCAAATACCAGCAACAAGAGAGAGGACAGAAGCCTGTTTACTGAAGAGGTCGAGTCAAACAGTGCTAATTTTTTTTGGAGCAATAACATAGTTTGAGCTTTGTTACAAGTAAACTTATAATAAATAATGACAACAGGGGCTGGCTTCATGAAGGGAGGAGCTTAAGTATATTATTTAACTGTAGCAAAACTAATGTGAAATGTCAGTGTTATAATAAAGGCAGAGTAAAACGTGTTAATAAGTAGGCTGGATGTTGCTTTTAAACCCTCTCATATCCATCACCTGAACAGTTTGCTCATGTTTTATCTGTTTCTATCACTCTTCACCTTTTTTGGCTACACTGACAACAACAACAACAACAACAACAACAAGTTTCCACACTGACTCCATTTGTCCCTCAATTTCAGCTACTAGGGAAAAGCTCTCGATGGTTACGGAGGAAAAAAACAAAAGCACAATCTCTTTTGGTGGCACAACTACAGGTGCACTTCCTTTGTGCCATAAACAAAGCTTTAATTTTCCTGGGATATTCCGTACTCTGGCAGACGGAGCTGCATAGCGAAAGTGAGGCTCATAAGGGACCAATCTAAATGTCATTATTCAATAGCCATTATATTGTGCAATCAGAATTTACATCATAATGATAATGTTGAAGCAGAGAACTTTATTCTCTCTATTGCTGCTTTAAAAAAAAAAAAATTGTAAAAAAAAAAAACTCATTACATCCTTGTATTATAATAGCCAGTGATATGATCATGCAGAATAGCCCTCTAATGAAAAACAGTGAGAACGATGATTGTAAAGCCTTGACCCTGCTCTCGAGCAGAGTGCTGAAATCCCGTCTTTGTGTAATTGCGAGGAGACATAAATTAATAAATCAAGCCTTCAATTTGCTTGGCGGAGACGATTCCGTTACATCAGAAGCTCCAGCCAACACCGAGCAAGTCGTGACTGTTTAAAAAGAGTAACAACACGGGGCCCACGCAGCAGACCACACACCACTGCAGGACTACATATTTGGTTTCGGGATTGCCTTCCAATTGTGTCTTAACTGTGAATTGTTTCTTAGAGCGGAACGTTTAACAGGAGAAGCTCTATCGATCCGTGCAGCGAAAAGGGAACAGCCTTTGCAGTTCGAACTTGGACTCGCTGCTTCACAAGCAAGACGAGGCGATGACGAGGAGGGCTCAGCGCAGGTTGACAGCAGCAGGGGATGGACGGTGAACGCCTGAGCGAAATTAGACAATAAGGGAATATCGACAACATGGTTGAAGTGTTGAAACACAAGACAATCGTGTCTGCAATCTTCAGTCCCCTCATTCCAGTCTACGTGGAGTAAACACGAGGGAAGCATCTGGCTCATTCAGTTCAGATACATCACTTTGACATTTTATGTGCAGTTCTGTACTAAAAGAGGAAAAAAGGCCCGTGAGACGTACCTGTGACCTGCAGCTTCTCGCCGGTGACCTCACACTTCAGGTAGAGACGCCCCCTCCGCTCAGTGTGATCAGTTCCACACAGGCTGGGAACGTTCATGACACACTGCTTATGAACGTTCATATCGCAGGCTGGTGGGACGGAGAGAGGAGACGAAGGAAGTCAGGGAAGAAGACACTATACAGTCAAATGTATTCATACCCTCCCATTAAAGAAGGAAAAAAAACAGCTGTCACTGAAATACGCTGAAATTGACACAAGTAATAATAAATAAAAATGTAATGCACATCATGACATTACTTTTGAATTGTGCTTAAACAGAAATATATTTAAAAAAAAAGAAGGGACAAAAAAGCATGATGGGACCCATAAAATAATATTTTGTTGAACAACCCTTTGAGCCAATCACTGCAATCTGGTGTTTTCTGTAACTCTCTATTTAGATTTTGGTCCACTGCTCATCAGCAAAGTGTTGTCGTTTGACAGTTTTGTTAGTTTTTTTAAAATTATTCTTTTCAACCACAATTCAGAAGCAATGTCTTATTTCACTAAATTATAATTTAGCAAATTTTTATTTATTATTACTTTTTTCAGTTTCTAGTTATTTGAGTGACGAATTTTGCCTTTTCTTTAATGGAAGGTTATTAATATATTTGAGGATGACTGTGTGTTATGCATTTTATTCAAATCAAATAAAACTGAGCTAGGGTTTTGACATTGTTGTAATTTTCTTGATAAAGATGCTGCATTTATTTATTTGCTGATTAAATAAAAGGTTTGTGAATACATGTTTTTTTTTTTGAAAGCAATACAACACCATCTTTTAAAAGCAATGCAATGCGTGCGTGTAACCTCTACTGGCTTAATTCCCGCCTACAATAAGCTGCTTTAAAATGCCTTCTGGATTCACCATACCTATTACTGCACCTATCTCCACTGACACATTTCAATCTTATTTCATGTATCATACACGTTTGGCATAACATTAAAGGATTGTTTTTTACTCTAAGAGCTGTGCAAGATAACAAGGTTACGACCCAGATTCATCTCAATGATGTCATGCATACATGGCATGTGTGTCAGCCGCCCCGTCATGGATTGGGAACAGTTACATCATCGTGTCATCCGGTCAGTAGGTGAAAAACAATGAAAAAACGGCGACGCTGCCGGCGCGCTGTCCACGAGAACGATTTATGGGGTGTTTTTTTTTTTTTTTTGTGCCTCCCTGGAACGGTCCTGTGGCTCGCCAGTGCTTAAAAATACTACAGTGCAATCTCATTATGGCGTGATTAGAGGTGCAATTGATCTGCCAAAATAATTTGCCGCTCCACATCTCTATTTATGCACACCCCGGAGCAAATCATTAGGGATAACTGGTGGTCTGTAGTAGGTAGCAGATAATGTATTTAGGAGCTCATTAAGGCATTCAGACTTTAATCCACTACGATTAACGGGGAGAGGAGTGAGGGAGGGATATTAATGAAAATAAAGTTTTAAGCCTGTTACATGTCCATGGTGTTTCTTTTTTACGCTGTAAGACGTATCATGAGTGAAATAAGCAGGTAGCAACATGTGGCTGAGCGTTTTTAGATTAAACCTGCAGCCTATTGATGACGGTTT